CTTAGACTTGATGTACAACCTGCTCAATCTAAACTAATGAATAGTCGGCCTAGGGGCTTCCCCAAGGACATACAGGACATGAGCAAGTAAACTGCATAAAAGAATCTGCCCATTTTGCATGCAAATTCTCAGTAATATGACCAGCAAGGACAAACTTGAATGGATAAAAATAACCCCAAGATATAAGGGCAGCCTTGTGACGGTGGCCAGTGTGGTGATGATATGAGTCTGTACGTGCATGTAGGGTCAGTGGGGTGAGGCAGGGGAAAAGAGGTTACAGCTGGTTGTATGTGCGAGAGCTTCAGACAGATTTTTTCCCAGCAACATTTATTAAAGTCATCTCCTCCTCTCCTCCACAGGCTGAAACCCTAAACATTTAATCAGTCAAAAGCAGTATGTGACCACAGGGTCTCTCCAAACTCAAACTGGACAAAAACCACAATTCAACATACCTTGGGATAACTTTGCCATGAAAATAACCACATCCTAGAACTGGCTTTAATGCTCACCTTTCATAGCATCCTTATCCATTTGGGTCAATCCGTCCATCTGGATTCAACCCACTGAGAGTCTGAAATATCTTCCAGATCCTTCCTGTCCAGCTTATCTCAAGGTTCTCAATTCCACCAAGTCTTTTCTATCCAACTACTCCCTGGGGTGTCATTCTTAAATTGGATGAGATTAATTGATATTACTTGAACTGAGTGAATAGAGCTTGCTAATTTGTCATACACATGTGTTTGATAAACTTACTCTATTTATTGTTTCCAGCACATCCTGGAAGCTATTTACGGACAGTGCACTACATCACGAGACCAAGTTATTATTTGATTTGGCTCCCACTAAAAACTGTTCAGACATGGACAGACATTTTGCTCTTCATTTGTGGTGGGGATTCGTCCTGTGCTAATGAAGTTGCAATCTTTTATTAGCCTCCCTGGAGACTAAGGGTGTGACGAGCCAGAAGTAAAAATACAGTGTGCAGCAATGGAGCAGTTTTTCCTTTTTTAGCAAGACAACTGAGAATTTTACAGGAGATGTGCATCTCAATTTTATGTCATTATCAACAGGATCTCTAAAAACACAGTTTAACAGCCCAAATAGTTTACTGCCACAGAAGGACTTATAGAGAAAATCTTCAGAAGTAGCACCATGCTTTGGATCACTCAGCTCCAGGAAGTCCAGAAAGTATACACGGAGGTGGGCTTCACACGACAACCTCTGATGCTATGTGTAACCGGTTAAGATAAACCTAATGCAACGGGAGTTCAAGGACGTGAATAACGCCCAAATGGATACCAGTTCCTTGTTCATTTAATGACCCTTTGGTTTTTCAGTGACGTTTAATTAAGTAAAAAGAAAATTAAAACTTTGAAATTCTAAGACTATTTCGAGGAAAAAGATTGAGTACAAATAACTTCTTAAAACCGAGAAGGGAGAATCCATAAGTTAAGAAAATGGATTTTAAAAAACACACCAAATGGACATTATCCATCAAAATAGTCAAAATGGATGTCTTAGAAAGTCCACATGATCTTTTTTTGATGCTGCTCTATTATAAAGAATTTGTTTTGCAACATTTCTTTCAGAAGAGTTTTCAGATAATTTATATTACTGTACTGCTATCTCTGATACGGCATATATAAGGAACATACAGGAAAAACGTCATGTTTTTAAAAGACTTTTTTGAATGTCATCAGAATTACTGGCAGAGAGTAAACAGGCACGCACAAATTAAAAGATAATCTCTCTTACCCAACAGCCCCCCACACACGAACCTCAGCTCCTGGGCAGTCAGTCTGCTAAGAATATTCCACATACATGAGAATAAGTTCCAGGTCTATAGCAGAAACTTTTACACTTAAGTACCGAGCCTGGGGGCCAAGCTGACTGAGCACAATAGTAACTCAAGAACACAACCCACGCAGTAAACAAATGTTACCAATTCACTAGAGAGAAGATCTGATTCAAGGTCGGGGTTTTCCAGCCATGAAGTGGAAGACTGAAGGGACTGACTAGCCATTTCAAAGAAGAAAGGTTACTACGATATATTTCTAAACCTCGTAAATAATTTTAGGCTACAATGAAGTGATTTCGCCTGAGTTGCCTATAAAATAATTTTTATCTCATCTTGGACCTAGTTACTACAACATAGTATTAAGAACTAATACTCTGTGCAGTATGAATGGTTTTACATCTGGCGAATACAGACAAGTAAAGGCACACAGTAAAGTTCCTATCTAGGCCTCTAAAGTCTCTGTTTATAATTGCCCTGCTTTTTAAAATTAATCATTTTCAAGTTTCTTCATGTAAAATGTTCAAAACACACTTTATAACATCACACTAACTCATATGTCTACGTCCTTTACAATTGATCGACCTTTTATAACTAAATAGAAATGAACTGTTGTCTTCTTCATGAATGCTTCCACAAATAAAAATAAAACTACTTTAGGTGAAGAAGGGTCACGATTTACGCAGTCAGGGCAATGAATCACAAAGTCTCTATCACTGCCTCTCCGACCTCAGTGTGCAGCAGAATCGTCACCTGCGGTGAGGAACGCAGATGGTGGGTCCCACACGCTGAATTTCTGATTCAGAAATTCTGGGAGGGGCCCAAGATTCTGCATTTCTAACAAGTTCCCAGGAGATGCTGACGCGGAAGGTGAGGGGTTCCCTTTGAGAATCTAACTTCTGGGATACATAAGACATATCTGAAAAGTAATATATAAATACATTTTTTTACACCCACCTCAGAGCTGTGACATTCATAACGACCAGGGATGCTGATTAATTTTCAAAGCTGATTCTATTCCTAGCTAAGTGACTAATAACCACATCGATATTAAAACAAAACAACCTAAGACCACCACCTTCATCAGCTCAGGAGCAGAACTGCCTCCTCCTTCAGGCGTAAGCAACAAGGGCACAAGATTAGTGTAATGCAATGCTTTCCTACCTGTCTCCATGCACAGATCTTACCCTTTTCCACTGCCCAACAAGAGACTTACAGGGACAAATAATCTGAATGACAAAAGTGACAGGAAAATGGAATTCAGACAGTTTGAGCAACATCTCCTCCCCCCATCTTTCTCACTTCTCATTATCCCCCTCCACACACACACACACACACACACACACAATGAAAAAAAAAAAACACACTTCCTTTAGCTAGGATGATCTGAACCAATAGAAGTGAAATAAAGACGTGGACCCGGGATAAGAGGAATTAAGACTCTCCCGCACTAGGCAGGGAACAGCTCCTTGGAAAGGCTCATCTCCAGCATTCCTCCATCCCTAGCACCAGGCCACTGTCAGCTGCTCAAGGACACCAGAGTCCAGCAGAAGCCAAAAGAGCACCAAATGAATTTCTGCTCTCCTCAAGGCCCCCCTTCTGCTATCAGCCAAGCAGTAAGATCTGCCTGGTCTCAGCATCTCCCTCATACACCCACCACCACCACCACCACTGCCACCACCATCACCAAGCAAGCTCTCTTTCATCTGGGAAAGAGGGAGTGGAGAGGGAAATTAAGATGCTTAGAGGTGGGAGGGAGTGAAGACTTCCTGGCGGAACTCCGTAGGGAACTAAGAAGACGGGAAAGGGGACAGCAGATGGATCGCAGGAGAGGCCAGAGCTCGCTGCTCTGGACCCTCTCCCTCCCCGCCACCCCCAGCACTGCTCAGCCCTGGACAGAACACCGTGGAGAGAGTAAAGGCTGAGTCGGATCTCCCCGCTAGGTTCCCCAACACCCTCCCCCTGCGCGCCCCACGGTGCCAGAGAGTTTGAGGACTCAAGGTCCCCTTGCACCCGCGCCTGCCCCGCAGTCAGTTCTCGGGTCTGCAGAGAAAGCTCCGACACTTCCACAAACACTGACGCCCTTCGCGCGGGGCAGCCGTGGACCCAGCACTGCAGCATCGGGGTCCATCCCTCCGAGCGAGACCAAAAGGCAGTGGCTGCATCTCCAGCACACGTTCCCTGGATGTCGGCCCTCGGGGCGCTGGGGGCCAGTCTGGGCCTGCTGTCCCCTCAAGGGTTGTTCTCCTCCTAACCTCCCCACCATACCTCGAGAACACAAAAGTTATTTTTCCTTTGCAGCACCGCCTGCTTGTCCCAGGAGAAGACGCACATTTCAGCCAGAGCCTGGGTGCGTGTGAGTGCATCTTTCAGTCCCGAAAGCCAAGGGTGCCAGCTGCTGACAGTCAAAGGAACCTGGATTCGCTCTTGAGGACTCAAAAACCTCCCAATTAGCGAGCTCGTCCTTCTCTGGCCCTAACCCGCCCAGACCTGGGTTCTCCGGAGAACCGAGATCGTGTTCCTGTTGCAGCGAGGTGGTGTCCTGCCCCGGAGCCGGGACGCGCGGACTTGGCCGTCCGTTCATTCATGCATTTGCTCATCCATTCACATAAACACGTCCCTTAATTGTGTCTGGCACGGAGAATCTCGCCTGCTATTTTCCCCTCCCCAAGTCAGTGCTCATGGCAACGGCTGGTGCAGAACGCAACTCAACTGTCACCCCACTTCCTGAGCCGGAAAATCAAGTCATGTAGGCATTGACAAAAAAAAGGAAAAGGTGGAGAGGAGGAGGAGGCGGGGGGCGGAGAACGATGGGGAGCTCACTGGGGTCACATTCGAAGCTTCCCTTCGGGGGAAACCGCGGCACCGACAACGCGGCGTGCCAGGAACCAAATCATTATTCAATCACAGCCTGCTGGAGCTCGGTGCCTGGCGGGGATGAACCAAGCGCAAAGCCACCGGTTCGCGCGAGTGCGATGCTGCCGGCTCGCCCCAACTCCGAGCCCGAGCCGAGGCGCCGGGAGAGCGGCTCGCAGCCCAATCCGCAGCGCGCTCGCCGCCTCCTTATCGCTCCCAATAACGTGATCAAGTGTAAATCAAAAGCCACGCCGGGAGGGGCCCGGGACGGCGTGAGTCGTGCCTTTCCGCTCACCGCCCCTCTCGCCTAAGAACCACAAGGTCACGATAGCGTCGCGATTCCACTCACCGTACACTCCTTGGCCGGAGATCCCCTCCAGGAGGACTGTCAGCAGCCACACGAGCCCGTACACTAAATCCATCTTCACGTGAACATGAACATATCCAGCCCGGGGGGGACGCAGCGGGACCTTCCCGAGGCCGGCGGCCGGCGGCGCGCGCTCCACTCGCGCCCGGGCCGAGCGCAGGTGCCCGGGCGCCGCTCGCCCAGGAAGGCAGCGCGGTCCGTCCGTGCCTGTCCGGCGGCGGCCGGGAGCGGAGCGCAGGAGCCCCGCACACCCCACACTCATGCACACACACGCACACACACTCACACGCACGCCGCACTCACCCCGGGCGCCTGGGGAAATCGCAGACACCTGGGAGGGGCAGGGGGCGTGCGGGAAGGGAGCGGAGGGCGGCGGGCTCGCGGCTCCGCAGCGGCGGCGCGCTGGGCGGGCGGCTGGCGGCGGGCGCGGCGAGGGGCCGGGGGCCGGGCGCTGCGAGCCTGGCGCGGGCGGCCGGGGGCAGGAAGTGGCCTCGACGCGGGCGCGAGCAGGGCTGCCTGGCCGGGCTTCGCCTTTACAAAGTAAGTCGCGAGGGTCCGCGCAGCAGCGTCAGGCGGCGGCGGCGGCCCGCGCGCCCGCAGTCCGGAGCCCCCGGCCCGGCGGTCTTGCCGTCCCCCATTCCATCAGTTGCCATTGCAACGCCAATCCCGTTACACGACACAGGCTCGCAGCGCCGAGCGGGGAGAGGAGGCAGAGGAGGAGGAGGAAGAGGAGCGGCCCGGGGGACGGGGGTGGGGAGAGGCAAGGGAGGAGGGAAGGAGGAGCAGAGGACCGCCAGGGAGCGGAGTGCGCGTCGGCAGCTCCCGGGCTCCAGCCGCCGCCGCCGCCGTTCTCCAAAGGAGCCTCAGCGCGCTGCCAGCGCGAGGGGTCCGGCCGCCGCGGCGATCCCGGGGCCGCAGCTGAGGCCAGCAGCGCCGCGTGCCAGACGGGGAGCCGGCCCGGCAGAGCCGGGGTCCGCACGCGTCCCCGCGCGCCCCGTACCGCGCGCGTCCTCCGGCTCCGCGCCGCCCCCGCCAGGTGGAGGGTGGGGGCGCTCGGCCGGCGGGGGTTCGGGGGAGGGCGCCGCAGAAGGGCTTCCCCGCCCGGGCGAACGTGGCGCCGGCCTCCGGAGGCGAACGCGGGCGCGGCGGCCGCTCGGGCCCCGGTGGGCAGCGGCCGCGAGGCTCGACGCCGGCCGGGGTGCGGGGCGTGCGCGGCAGCGGCGAGGAGCAGGAGCAGGAGCAGGAGGAGGAGGGCGCAGCCGGCAGCGGCGGCCGGCGGCCCGGAGGAAGGCTGGGCGGTCACGTTGTGCGCTACGTGCCGAGAGCGCGAGCGGCTCCCGCAGCCGGCGACGTCAAAGCCGCCGGCCGCCGCGCCTCCTCCGCGCCGCCCCGGCCCGGCCGCCCGGCCAGCCCCGCGGGTGACAGCGCGCCGGGCCCCGCGCGGCCGGGGGTCCGGTCTCTCCCCCGGAGCCCCGCGGCGGCCCCCGTAGCGTTTCTGCCGCCGCTGGCAGCGAGGGACCGCCGGAGGGCCGGCGCCACCTCCGACCCGGGTAATTACAGAACACGCGGTCCCCTCCCCGCCGCCCAAGGTCTCTAGGATCCGTTCTGCTTGACTAGAGGGCAGAACAGGCCACAGCCCGTGGAAGCCGCAGCGTTTCTTCCCCAGTTGTGTCCTTTTAAATGGAAATATGGTGATCGCAGCAATGAAGGCTCTTGGGGAGAAACAGGAGGCATTCAGAGTTCAGTGTATTTTCTGTGCAATGTCTCCTGCTAAAGTTGACTGCTTTGAAAATATTTTCTCTTTTGTGAAAGACGGGTCTCTCTCTGTCTCGTTGGGGCAGAGCTAGGTCTCATGTTGGAGGAGCCTAAAATAATTCATGGTTACAAAAGGATTGAGAAATGCAAAGCATCTTTAATTTACGTTGAAACAAGTGTAGAGATACTTCACCGAAAATTAATAGGGGAAAACTAGGAATATAGTTGTGATTTGTGACTTGTTTCTGTAACCATAATAATTAGTGCTTCCTGCACGCAATCCACTTTGTTGAATATATTCTTCACTATTCAAACAGCCAATGGATAGTGATTAAAATAGCTAAAAACGTGCGTCTATACATGTGTTACAAAAGTACTTGCTATGGAAAATCTGGAGCACAGGATTCATGTATCTGCTCCGTTATAGATGGGTATAATTCGCTGCGGGTCCCTCTCCCCCTGCTGTTCTCGTGCTGAGGGGAAGGCAGTCCAAGCAGCAGAAAATGAATAGTCCCCATTGTTTCCACCGAGGTCCCTTTCCTAGTTTAAGTGAATTAGGCAGATTATTTTTATAGGGTGTGATCTACTGTTTACCCTCTGAGTTTAGGAGAGAAGAAGAACCAGGAATGTTGAGAGCCTCCCCAAGGCTGCCTCACATAGTCTTGAGGCGTTACGAAACGCCACTTTCACTTCGATGGAATTAATTATCCTTCTAGAAGCAAAACTCACGTGCGGCATTTCTGAAGGGGAATGAATGAGGCTCAGTCACTGGGCACCTGTGTGTGGGGGGCGGGGGAAGCCGGGGGTTGTCTTAGATTTCTGGAGAGCCTCTTACAGTAGATCACTCCTGCTCGCTGCAGCACAGTGGCTTCAGGGGGCGGTCGACTGCAACTCCTCTCTCAGATGGCAGCTCAGAAGATGTCTTGTCCCTGAGGCACTTCCAGCTTTTAGCTGCTCCTGTTCTGAAATACTGCTTCACCTGCATGTGTGTCCTGTCCTTTTTTGACTCTTGTTTATGGGGTCATAGGCTCTTTGGATGATTGCATGACTCTAGATTGAAATATTGCATTATCCCAAAAAGTCAGTGGATCACTTTAACAAAGGAACCCAGACGAAGTGAACATCCCCAATAGGGGCTGCTTTTCTCAACCTTCCACATTAGGACATAAGCTCCAGGATCTCAGGGCCCCTCTTTTCCGTGTAATGTACGTCTCTGCCTGGGGAAGGACCACACACCTGGGGAGCCCTCGGCCGTTCCTGAGGGAACGAGGGGGAGCTGGTAGAGAACTTAGAGAACCCATCATTTTAGAATTTATTTCAACTGAGAAAACAGCCAGGTGTATGTACTCTGGGCCAGGCCTTATCCTAGACCTCAGACAGTCAAAGATGTATAAGACACGGTTCCTTCCTTTAAGAAACACATCGTCTGCTGGACAGCGTGTGTTGGTCAACACCTGCACCACTACATCTATTGACACTCTCGCTGTGTAAATAAACTAGCCTCAGGCACAGGGTGACAGGTTTTACATGCAGCCATTAATGGGTTATATGACAGTAAGATTAAAAATTGCACTGGATTTAGTGTTTTTTTCTTTCTGTGAAAATACTGGATAGATTACTTGCAGAAACAATTGGCCAGTTCAATCAACCATGGTTGTTTTTTTTTCTTCTTCTTCTTCTTCTCGGAATTCAACATTTTTGGGCTGCCCTGAGCAAACAGACGTGATGTATGCAGCCACACCTTGGCACTACCTATGGCAGGCCTCCAGGTGGGGAGCCGCATGCACAGGCGGGGGGACGGTTTATCAGAGAGAAGGGAGGACCTCCAGAAGATGGGGCCAGAAGCTGTCATGAAATCAGACTTGGCACTCTGCATGCCCAATGAGAGCAGTTTCCTACAGGAACGGTGTGAGTAACTTTCAGGGTCACCAACTGCTTGGGTTTTGCATAGTGTATAGGGATGATGCATAGAACCCAAAGGAATCTCATACTGCATTGCAGGGCCCACTCAAGAGTGTTCTTTTGTCTCTAATAGGAGCAGCAAGGGAGACTTTATCATCTTTGGTGACAGGGCCGTGGAAATGTAGGGGTTCTCTTCTGACAGCCCTAATTACCTTAATAACCTGTTACAGTTTTATTGATTATGGTTTCATTTTGAATGTCTATCTCTATCCTCCAGTATGAGTATGATGTTCCAACCTCAGCAGCATAAGAGAGACCACATCATGAAGGGAGTCACGACTTGGCACAAGAGCCACCCAAGGTCATGGGACAGAAATGAGAAAAACTGGTATCTCTGGAGATGCAGCTGAGAAGGCAAAATCAGGGCATCAGTGACCTTTCTTTCCAATCTAGCCTCTTCCCACAAAGCAAATAGCAAGTCTTGTGTGTTGTTTATGGCCACTCCCTGTTCCCCTGCTGGCCGTTTAACTCAAACTCACTCCCATATGGGCTATTCCCTTTCCAGTTCAGAAAACCGACAGGAATGTGGAAGTCCTCAGTGGTCCAGAGGTCATCACTGAGGAATTGTGTGTCTGACCTGTTGCTCCTCGCTCCTTTGTGCTCACTTTGTTCTCGGTCACATCGCAGTTTGCAGGGACTGTCACCTACCCTGATTCATACCTGGGTTGGCTGCGTGTCTGGACCCCTGGCCTAGTCCTTTTATCCTGAGGTTAAATCTACTTCTGATATTTCCAAAATCTGTTAAGGCAAGCTCCATTGTTGTATGGCCCAGATGTGCACCTGAGACCCCTACTCCCTCCACCTCTGCCGGATGGACCAGATCTCTTTAAATTTAACCCAGATTACAATAAAGTTTACTTAAACCCTAAATTGGGAGCATTCCTGCAGGGCACAAAATCTTCTGTGCTGGTAAATTTTCTCTAGCCAAATGCCTAGTTTTATTTCCTCCTACTTAGTAATAGCTTCCAGCCTGCAAGCTTAGAGTCCAGGAAGCACCACTTAGAATTGACCGTTTGGGACAACAGTGAGATGGCGTTTCCCATCCGACAGACAGAGCCGAGCCTCGGGGATCCCAGGTGCTGGTCATTTCCCAGAGGCAGGCAGTGGCCAGTTGTTCCTAAGCGGCAGAAGCCAGACACAGGTGTTAAGTATGAGACAAGGATTTCGTTTTGGGAAACAGGATTATCCCTCAACATGGCTTTAGTGAGAAGAAGAGCAATGCTGCTAATATTAGGAACAAGGAAGCACGTCAAATCCCCACGTACAGCCTGAGGAAGTCAAGGAGAGATACATGGCTTGAGGAAGCAAGAAAAGACTCAAAGAATAACCCCTGCAAGTAGCAGATCCGGGGTCCACGTGAACAAGGAGGTGCCCGGGAGAGGCTGAGTGAGGGATGCTGCTTTGAGAGGATGCCAAGGTAATTTGCTACCAGATGATGGGGCTAAGTTCTCAGATATAGAGTGGCTGCCAGTGAGGAGTGTCTGACAAATGGAAGAAAGTAGAGGTCGAGGCAGAAAGCATGAGCTAAGGGCCTGGTGTTCTTGGTGTTCTATTGCCAGCTTCAAAGCGGTGAATTTCTGAGAGTTTTGACTCTTGTGGTAAAGAGCATTCCGTCTCAGAGTCCTTCCTTCTTTTAGGACAGACATGCTAGTGGCTAGTTCTAGACTTCCAGAATATGGTGGACCACTCACATTTCCTATACAGTTTGTATCCTGAACCATAATTATTTTTTAGAAACCTACCCTCATGTACCACCTCCTCGCTTATTTTATTAGCCCTGCCCTAGGTTTACTCTTATTCTGGCGTGGCTCCTTGAACTCATTATAATTCTGA